TTTAAGCAACTTTTAAGCAAACTATTAAGGAAACTATTTGGGAAAATAAATCATTTAAGCAACTTTTTATCGTTTAAGATGGTTTACATAAATCATTATAAGCAGAATAGTATGAAGCTCAGGTATCGGGAGCTAAACTTGAAATTCCGAATAAGCTAGATGGACTGAGAAGGGCTTATAAACTACTTTAGTTGTCTTATCACAGCACGATACTTAGCTCCATTATTGAATGCGGAGAAGTGCAAAGAAAGGTAAGAAGTGAAAACAAAAGTACAAAGCAAGGTCCTACGATAAAATACTTTTGGTGCAAATTTGGTAGGTATTATTAAACGATTAACCTAAGCCGATAATGGAAAATTTCAACTTACTTTGAATCGAATCAATATTAACCCGACCGACTCAGCCTAAACGATTCAAAAGTTATAATCTGCTTTAATGATTGTTTAGAAAGATGAGGCCCATCTTAAAAAGTTAAAATATTATCCGACCAAGCTTCAAGGAATGGAGCAGCAATAGATGTCTATGATATCCTGTGGTACAAACTCACTTCTTCCTCTCGCCTGCGAGCCTCCTGAGCCAGGGCAGCGGCGGCTGAGACTAGCGCAGCCTGCTGTATGGCTTCATGAAGCGATGTGCACTGTAAGCCGGTAGTGCTGGTGGTGTTGGCAGCATTCAGACTAGTCTCGTGGCCTAAAGAAATGTTCTTAATTGGAGCAATCCCGGAGACTAATGGGCACATGTTTGTAGAAGATTTAAGGCCAGTAGACGAGTGAGAGGGTATGGAGAACGAAGAAGACGCCGATGTATTTGACGTAGAAACAAGTGCCTTTGATACTTTAGCAAGACTCGAAGTATTCTAGGAGATGAATTATAACAGAATAAATAAACATATGAGTGACTAAAGAGTTGGAACGGCTGAAAAATTTATTCCTGGAAAATAATTATCTTTTGGGGCTTATTGACAATAATATCTTTGTACTAAGGAATAAATTTTCTGATGAAGACCATTTAGTCAAAGATAGAAAATCTGAAACCATTTCCCATATCCTATTTCTACCATCATGCCTTCTTTAAAAAAGATAGACGAATTATTAATGAAATAGGGAATAAAAACAGTGTTTAAAGAAACCCTCACACTTTCTTTTGTTATACCATCTTTTAAAGAGAAATATGGCCCATTATCGGAATCCGGTTGCTACAAGATTGCTTGTTCATGTAGTCGATCTTATGTTGATGAGACATGCCGACCTATTCGAAAAAGATTGGGAAACACAAAAATGCTTGTAAAGGAAGCCGGGACCAACGGTCAGAATAAGCCAAACACATGGTATAAACTGGACATGAGATAAAAAGGCTTCAAACTAGGTCTGCTGATTATGGTACATCTGCGGTTAATAGAAAGATAAGAGGCTATTGAAATTAATAGGTTAGGAAATACGTTTAATGTTAATAACTGTGGTAGAAAGTTAAGTAAGAACTATAAATGCTTGATTAATAGATTGAAAGTAGACGTGTTAAACCGCCATCCAAAAGAAAGTTACAAGAATAAAGATAATTAACAAAACCATTCTATATCAATCTATGTTTTTAAGTTCCCTTTCGCTTAAATGAGATTATATAAGAGGCAACATAAAGCCGGATAGTATTCTTGTCTTAGCGTTAAATTGAGAATTATACAAAAATGAGTCCAAGATTTGCTGAGGTCCATCATATGATGGATGAAAGCTCAGCTCGTTTTTACTTGAAAAAAAGGAGGTCTCGTGTACTTCATCAATCTCAACGTAGTACAAAATCCAAACGGCTACAGTACAACGGGATTTAACTGTCCTCTTCTGGTGGGATCGACCTTTGAAGCTCTTCTTTGATACGAAATGAACGACCCAACAATTTAAATGCATTAAAGAAAGTTGTTGATTGTAGCCACTTTTGGCCGGAAGAAAAAACAGAATTTTTTTCATTGAACTCTCAGATAAAATTGAGCTTAGAATAATAATGAATTGACAATAATGGCTTCCAATTAAGTTTAGCCAAAAAGGTGAGCGATTGAAATAATCTAGATTCTCAGAAAAGTTAATGTTCAATGAATAAGATTTGAACTGAAAATAAACCAATGAGAAGCACGGAGACGAACCTTTTTTTCAGAGAAAAGCATAATACAAAAGTATCCCAGTCTCTCAAAACGAAGGAACTAACCCAATTTGATAAACTTATGTTCATTATCTATAAGTTGGATAGCTTTATAATTTAAAGTAAAAGAGATGGAAGATATGAAGACAAAGATGGTGTGGTCCTCATTATGATCACAGTCTACTATCGATATATAGAAGTGGGTTGAACTCGGTGTCGCAACTTACTCTTATTTTCAGGGCGACCTAGTAGAATGCACCTTGTCCGAAGTCTTCTGCCATAGTAGTCATCATAATTCCCAGCATCAGACAATGAACTTGGTACATTTACAGACGATTCGCCGGCAACGTAGTCGGCATCATCAGTGAGTGCTGCTATTCTCCACACCAAGCTACGAATGCGTCAGAGACAAATGAAGTCTATCTCTCGACCAACGTTCTGCCGAAAACAGTAAGATTATGATTCCTCTTTCTGTCCTGACCTATCTATCTACTTTTTATCCTCTTATCCAATTCCCGTCCTATCACAACATTTCACTTGTTTACATTCCACTCGGCAAAATGTGTGCCCTTTTTGGCAAATTTATTGTGGTCACATCTGCTATTCCCCACGAACCCCTCTCTTTCGATCGGCTAATCCGACTCGGGCTTCATATTCGGATCTCCCTCATAGTGTCGTAGATCCATTCCTGATCTTTTTGGTTGACCAATTTCATTCGGTTCCAGTCCCAGTGCGCGTTTTACTCCAGGCGCTATTTCTCAAGAACTTAGAAGCTCGATCGAAAGAGAAGGGGTCGGGGTGAATAGCAGGTGTGATGAGGCCACACTAGTTTTGTCATAAAAGGGCACACGTTTTGACGAGTGGAATGTAAACAAGTGAGATGTTGTGATAGAACGGGAGTTGGGTAAGAGGTTAGAGTTGATAGATGGGCCAGGACAGAAACAGGAGTGATAATGTAACCATTTCCGACAGAACGCTGGTAGATGGATTGACTTCACTTGTCCCTGACGCGTTCGTAGTTTGGTGCGGAGAATGGCAGCACTCACTGATGATGCCGACTACGATGCCGGCGAAACATTTGTAAATGTACCAAATCCACTGTCTGATTCTGGGACTTATGATGACTACTGTGGCAGAGGACTTCAGAGAAGGTGCATTCTATTAAGTCGCCCAGACAACAAGAACAAGTTGCGACAACGAGGTCAACCCACGCCTAAGAGATGGATTTTACAGCAGGAAACCTCGAATGATACAAAACAAAAGTGAGGCATCGTCCAAGAACATAAGTGACGGAGAATAAAAGTAGCCTACATCGCAATCTGGACTTCATCTTTTTTATTTAGATTCAGGTAGATAAAGAAGAACAGGTAGCTCTGGACCCACAGGAAACGTTCGAGAAGGCTTCAGTCTAGTGACATTTAGATTATCAGAGTAAAAATGAATAACAGTACACATATTTTTCAAGCTGATCGAAATCATCCAAGCGCATGTTTTATGTTGTAATGAAATAATACATGTATTCTTACTGCAAAGTTTGAAACATATATCCAAAGGCAACTTAACTAGTCTTAACTATTCTATTATAACTGAACTCTTCTAAGGCCTAGCGTAAGAGTACGAAAGTCCTCTTTCAAGGCTTTGACTAGGTAGCTTTTTCAATATGAAAGATAAATGAAAGTTAATGATGCCAAAATATACAATCTATTGGCCAATAAGCACGAGTCCACAGTAATATTCCTTCGACGCCAAATGAGGGATCCGAAGATAAGAGTCTCTCAGACAAATAAACAAATGTGCTAATGTGATGGTATAAATCGTATTTCTAGGCAAAAAATAAAACTTGCTAGAAGATTATACTCACTGGGCTGTCAGATTGGTCGGGTGAAAGCCATATGAGTAGTTCAAGGCATAGGCTTGAAAGAAAATCACGCAAGCGAAGAAGAAGGATCATCAGCCAAAAAGGCACAGTGAAGATGTAAAAAAAGAGCTGAAAAAGTGGGGCAGAGATAAGCCGACTTGTTTGCCGGATTTTTTGGAACAAATAAAAGGATAATCGGTAGGTAGATGGATATAGAAATGCTAGCGAATGATGTGGCAGGCGAGACCCTGATCTATGTACCAGACCAAAAAAGGAAAGAAGAAGCTCGAAAAAACCGCAATCGAAATGTCGTTTCCGAGAAAACGAAGCGGCTAATGTTTTAAGACCCGTAAGCGAAGTCGCCTGTACAGAGGTAAGAGAGATTGCTGGGAGACCTCGCGATTGACGCTTGTTTCGACGTCGCTGGACCAACGTGCTTGTCGGTGGCATCAGACTCAACAGGGATCTCCCATTCAGAGTCTGGTCTGCATTATTCGATAAGCGACTAGGCGGCTCATCGGAGGGACCGCTGTAAATAGTATGTCGTGTTTGATGCCCAGATGTGCACACACGCTGGTGATTAACAGATTGTGATTTTGTCGGAGAGTCAGACAGACGAAGGCTTGGGACAGCTTCGAGACAAACGTCGTCAAGAGACTCAGGAGACTGTGAACACGCCAGCGCAGGGTCCAGGATGTTGACGGAAGAATGTGAGAAAAACTCACCTAGAACAGAGGACGAATTCAGATTGAAGATCTGTGGTATTTCACTCGAAGTAGGTATAGTGCCTGGCAGGCTTGACGATACATTTTGACTTCGAGAGGCCGTTGTGCTCGAGAAGTTCAAAGGAGCAGAGAGTCCAGAGGCTGGAGCTATCGATACACAGCTGTTAGAGGTCTGACACAATAAAATGCGTCGGAGATGTAAGTTGTACAAACGGCGAGCTTCTAATAGGCCAAGAAGCAAAACTC